ATAAAGTTTTATTTCTTGTGATTATGTGTGTTTTTTGGCCAATATGTTTTTTCAGTGATCTGTTATCTAAGCATTGGACTGTTTACCGTGGTATGCATAGTCGATATGAATTCCTGCCTATATCGCATAATATGTCGCAAAGTAGCCATATCAACATACCACAGTGTAGCTATATCAACATACCACAGTGTAGCCATATCAACATACCACAGTGCAGCCATTTCAATATACCTCAGTGCAGCCATATCAACATACCACAGTGTAGCCATATCAACATACCACAGTGCAGCCATTTCAATATACCACAGTGTAGCCATATCAACATACCACAGTGTAGCCATATCAACATACCACAGTGTATCCATACCAACATACCACAGTGTAGCCATATCAACATACCACAGTGTAGCCATATCAACATCCCACAGGGTAGCCATATCAAAATACCACAGTGTAGCTATATCAACATCCCCCAGTGTAGCTATATCAACATACCGCAGTGTAGCCATATCAACATTCCACAGTGTAGCCATATCAACATACCACAGTGTAGCCAAATCAATATACTACAGTGTAGCCACATCAACATACCACAGTGCAGCCACGTCAATATACCACAGTGTAGCCATATCAATATACTACAGTGTAGCCATATCAACATACCACAGTGCAGACATGTCTTATGTGACAGTGTGGCGATGTCTTATGTGAAAGTGTCGCGATGCTTATAAGTCGGAGCCCCTTGAACACTTTTGGCGAGATTGATCGGTACAAAGTCGTGAATACCAATACGAAACGTGCTCTTGTCAAAAAGAAATAAAAAGGATAGTGTACAGCTGCTGTTATCGTTATTGATTGAGTCAATCCTGACAACGTGTGTGTTTTCACTATCTGTGTTACGTTATATATTTTTTCAATAACGCGTTGCATGCGTTATGTCCAAATAACAAATATGTTGTACAAGGATGGAGCAATCATAAATTAATTACTTTGATGTTCACTAGTTTGCACGAGGCTAAGCTATCTACATCGTGCTATGAAAGCAAACTGATACATATTCAATTCTTAAATTGACACCTACTTTTAATGCATGCGTATGACGCTACGCACCACCAGGTTAGGGTCACCTCCACTGATCCATCACGGCTTTTCGTGCTTCCGTCAGCGCCGACATTTATTAGGTAATATTTTCCATAGTCCTACACAAAACGCTTAATCTCAATACGAATTTAATCAAGTAATTGATATATGAATAAATATTTACATCTGAAATAATAAACGACAGCTTCATCAAAAAGATATAGCTTTAATTGTTTCTATTGTCACCTACATACCTCATGACGATTAGATTATAACGTAAAATGTATAGCAATGTAATTTATCGAGTTATATAAGAGTTAAGCTGTATTAGTTATCGAGTTGTAAATTAGTATAACTATGCAAACTTTTTAGAAGGACAAAAATAATGTAGAGTTGCTCTTATTATAATAAATGCATGGCTATGCATAGAATAAAGGTATTTGGTCTAAGCTTGCAGGGAAAAGGGTCAATGAAAATTAAGGTTATTCAGATAATAATAGATAATAACTAGAAATATGAATAAGGAAGCCCCTATAACAAAGACAGTTTATGAGAATGAAACAAAACAACTACACCGTTGATTAAGGCAATTTCGTCCATCAAGGTGGTTTCATCTGTCCGAAAGACCGAAAAAATGAAAATAACTAAGACGCTCCGAAACATATAAAACAATGCAGCGCATGGGGGAATGTAGCGTAAGGGGAAAGGTACTCATCCAATCTTTCATAACGTTACAAATCAAATACGACCAACATGCCAACTAAACTGGGTGAGGAAAATAGTTGATCATTATCTTTTATTTTGTCAACCTGCACAAAATTGTCAAGACGGAAGATTAAAAAACTACTCTCACATTAAACGATACTCACGCAAAGGTTTATTAGTAAAGCAAAATTGAATTCCACCGATAAAGACTTTCGTTTATACTTCCTAGCCATCTTTTTCTACAACTCTCAAAAACATACCTATACGCATAACTTTAATCATAAAATAAGTGTACAGTATGACTTTGGGTATAAATCACATGTACATTATGACTTTGAGTATAAATCACTTGTACATTATGACATTGAGTATAAATCACTTGTACATTATGACTTTGAGTATAAATCACTTGTACATTATGACTTTGAGTATAAAGCAACTGTACAGTATGACTTTGAGTATAAAGCAACTGTATAGTATGACTTTGAGTATAGAACACATGTATGGTATGACTTTGAGTATAATACACATGTATGGTATGACTTTGAGTATAAAACATCTGTATAGTATGACTTTGAGTATAAAACACATGTATGGTATGACTTTGAACATAAAACATCTGTATAGTATGACTTTGAGTATAAAACACATGTATGGTATGACTTTGAGTATAAAACACATGTATGGTATGACTTTGAGTATAAAACACATGTATGGTATGACTTTGAGTATAAAACACGTGTATAGTATGACTTTGAACATAAAACATCTGTATAGTATGACTTTGAGTATAAATCACATGTATGGTATGACTTTGAGTATAAAACACATGTATGGTATGACTTTGAACATAAAACACGTGTATAGTATGACTTTGAGTATAATACACATGTATGGTATGACTTTGAGTATAAAACATCTGTATAGTATGACTTTGAGTATAAAACACATGTATGGTATGACTTTGAGTATAAAACACATGTATGGTATGACTTTGAACATAAAACACGTGTATAGTATGACTTTGAGTATAATACACATGTATGGTATGACTTTGAGTATAAAACATCTGTATAGTAAGACTTTGAGTATAAAACACATGTATGGTATGACTTTGAGTATAAAACACCTGTATAGTATAACTTTAATCATAATGAATAAAACAAATTACAGTATGACTCTGATTATAAAGCATTTGTCGAATATATCTTCTTTTATAAAGTGTTCAGACATTACAAACATTACCAATCTTAGCTTTTACCATACAATGAGTTCCGTCGTTTACCATCATACCAGGCCACAGCGAGGGAGCCCATCTTCTCACAAAGGGAGAAAATATAGTCGAGCCAGCTAATATTGCAAACAAATTCTTGATCATAGCAAACTTTTGATAATTCTCGAGAGACTCTCCAGTAAAACGCCGGGAAAATGTTGTTTTTGGTTACTAACACAACACGCAATGACTGCTACATTTAACAAAGCCCCATATGAACGTTGATGCTGACAAATCCTGATATAACTGTTGGTAACCAGTGAAACATAATTCGTGTTATCAAATGTCAAATGTTGTACATGTAATAAAAAAGCTGCATTAAGAATGTTATAAAGTGCATATTAGTATAAAATATTCTAGACACAACACTGGTGGGAAGAACGAGCCTACCCATGACCTTTACCCACGTATGAAGTGTCAGGAGGAAATCGTTTTGCATCAATCAAATTATTCCTTTGAATTTTCATTGTAATTATTATTCATTAGTGTATGGAAATAGATTTTTCCTCTAGACCCGTACCTACGGCAAAGGTACACGAGAAACCACAACAATAATGACATAGGGAAATGGTGATATTAAAATACCCATACGTATACGCCTAACCCTTTTTTAGTCCAAACAGTCTTTGACCCATCGTTAATTTGTACCAATTAAATTATCATAAAAAAATGACATTAACTACTTAAGAACAATGGACACATTCAAGATAAAGAAAGTTAAAGTCTCACCTATGCTAATCACCTTAAGATTCAAATCTATAAAAACGCGTAGTAATTGTGTGTCTGACACAAACTTGTCAGAGAATTCCCAACAAGGTTTTTGAAGAAAAAGGTAAGAGCACGGTTTTATCGTTTTTGGTTAGACCACATTACTCTTGGCTTTGGTGGTTTTTTAAACATTATATTTCATTCAGTACATTAGATAATTGCTTAATTGTTCTAAACGTGGTACAATATATTTGCATTTCCTTGTAACATTCTTTAGTGCTTTATACAATAACACTTCGCCATGCTGATAGTTTTGCTAATTTACAAGACAGTACTTATTAGCATTCGTTCTTTTTGTATTTTACACGACAGGACTTCACAGTCATATGCTTCATATTTACACAATACGGCTTAATATTATTATATAAGACTCTTTTAAACAATTTGAAGGGTAGCATTTGTTCAAATATCTAGAACAAAATTATAGATGAAATAATAGAATGAACTATTTGTTAAATCATGCAGCGATCCAGACAATTCAGTATGTTTAATAATGAAAAGACACTTATGAATACATTACTATTACGTAATACGTACCATGAAATGTTAGTTACAAGCTAAGTACGTATCTCTAACGAAAACTTAACTGGTATAAAAATGTCTAAATCATTCGTTCCATCTAATTAAATCGATATGAATACTTCACCAAGTTAAAGAACCCTAATTTGATCCAGGTGAAAACTACTTTTCTAGACTAGTTAATCAAAATTGTTTTAATGAATCCAATGATAGATTAGAATTAGTTCGCAAGGTATAAATCTAGTATTGTAATATATCAGCGATACATATGCGGACTAAAACTTCAGATACAAAGTTATAACTTACTTACAAAATACTGTTTGTAGCAGACTACCAATAAAGATGCTAATTGTAATAGGAAACAATATCGATACATCGTTGTAAACGACTAACAATATAAATATACAGTTGTGATATATTAAACAATCTACATGTACAAATATAGTTGAATAGACTTACAATTCAGAAACTAGTCGAAACAGACTTACAATGCAGAATTCACAGTTGATTTGAGTGAACACTTAATGCATATCTCTATGAAATTGTTAAGTTTGGAACATTTACTGCAGACTTCACGTGTTACTTCAATAGATACTTTGTGTTTTTTCAGTTTGACAAGATGTTGTACCAGGTAGTATTTGCGCTATTGGTAGTCATGGTAGCAGCCGATTCAGAGCCTTCTTACCAAAAGGTCAGTAAAGGTTACGGTAAAGGCGTATCCAAGGGATTCAGTGGCAAAGGATTCAACGGATATAACAAAGGGTACAACGGATTCAATAAAGGGTACAATGGATTCAACACAGGGTACAATAGATACAACACGGGATATATGGGATACAACAATGGAATGATGAATCCTAATTTCGGTTTCAACGGATTCAACAGAGGTTTCAACGGTTTTAACGCAGGTTACAACGGATTCAACAATGGGAACAATGGATTCAACAATGGGTACAACGGATTCAACAATGGGTACAACGGATTCAACCAAGATTATATGGGATCCAATGGCTACAACGGATTCAGCAACGGTTACAATGGCTACAAGAAAGGAAACAGCATGTCCAATGGCGGTATGTACGGAAGTTTTGGCTCGCCAATGGGAAACGGATTCAATATGAACCGTCGAGTCTATCCTGGATATCCAAGATTTGGTGGAAACTCCTACTCCGTATACCGACCTAGGGGCTATTTCGGGGATGACGACGACTACAAATTTAGTGGAAACTTCCCAAGTCAAGTTATGAGAGGATCTTTCTCCCAGCGCCCCTCCTTTGGAGGGTATAATAGCGGTTACAGGGGAATGTCCATGAACAGATTTGGAGGTCCCTACCAAGGATTTAACATGTTTAGGTCTTCATATCCTAAAATGGGATACAAGTCCAGCATGTCAACCAAAAAGGTGAGTAAATCAATGAAATAAATATTTGATTCAATTGCTTATCTCCATTAAAAAGTTTGTAAAACTAAACGATATTTAATAGAAAAATGTGTACAAATTAAGCGTTTCTGTTTAAAATTAAAATTAAAATTAGTAGTCCATCTATCATAGCATGTATGACTTACACTTGCTTGTTTCTTTTTACTTGTAGGGTTCCTACTAAAATTCCTCACCAACAGACTAGACAAGACCGAACGATCTCGCGTGCGACCTAGATATGTGATTATACAATGTAAATTATTTCCAATTAAATATGGTTTGTTTGTTTCTTGAATACAATATACGTGTTGCTTCTTTCTCTCGTGTGAATGAGATTTATTAATTTGTCATGCTTTTCATAACGTATTCAAAAAAGATGACGTCACACATATCCCTCTGGGCAATGTTCTAGTGTTTTTTAAAAGTGTGTGTACCAAGCATTTACCATAACAACCACTTATTCTACCGTCGCTTCATTTGAATCTGAACAAAAAAAATGTTGCCTTTGAATGCAGCGAATAGAAGATACCGTTATGATTGGTTAATAGCAAAAAAGTGATATTTTCACACCGTGAAAAAATCACTTTTGATATTTGTCACAGTGTGAAAGATATCATTTTTATTAAGTTGATAGAATCCGATATTTCACTGCCAAAAATGACGCTACTGAGAAAAACACGATACTTTTCATCAAAACGTGAAGTTAATTAATCCTTATCCTTGTCCACTAAAACTGTCCCGAGAAATTTTCGCTGCAGTTTAATTTCCGCCTTCTATGTCCTTTATGACCCTAGCGGTTGATAGGACGTTAAAGCGAATGTTTGTAAACAACATAATATACACAGCAATTAAATGTTTTGGGCGAATTCAAATTGGGCCAAAATGGATTTTACCGTGAAAAGGGAGAAAAGTTGACTGGGCGAAAAATTCGCGGTATACAGTAACCATATTCAGGGACTTCCATATTCGGCGACAGATTTAACACTTGACCTACAGAATAAGTTCCCTAGGTACGGTCCGACACAGGACAAGATCGATACAAGACTACATAAAGGTCGATTGAGCAAGCGCATGCCGTGGCGAACCGCCGATACCTTGGTTCAGCGAGGTTTGGAAGCTTAATTAGGTCAATATGGAGAGCGGGAATACAGACAGTTTCACCAAACTAAACATTTCACTTCAAACTATGCTTATTATTTTCTTAGTGTATATTTTTTTTTATAAATATCACCAAAATTCAGAACGATGTTTGACCATTTACACGATTAACACACAGACAACACAAAAACCAGTGCGGAGTTAATAGTTGCAATCGTATTTTATGAATATGATTACTAGCTCGGTCCTGTCACACAACTCGTCAAGCGACACATTGCATCGCCCACTCCAAAGTGTTCTTGTTTCGATAACCTGTAAGGCATAAAGTTATTGCTGGAGGTGTTGCCAGTCAAAGTTTAACAGTACCCAGGTCCTATCAATGTATTACTTGTCGTACAAAAGTACCCAGGTCCTATCCATGTATTACTTGTCATACAACAGTACACAGGTCCTATCAATGTATTACTTGTCATACAACAGTACATAGGTCCTATCAAGGTATTACTTGTCATACAACTGTACACAGGTCCTATCAAGGTATTACTTGTCATACAACAGTACACAGGTCTTATCAAGGTATTACTTGTCATACAACAGTACACAGGTCCCATCAAGGTATTACTTGTCATACAACAGTACACAGGTCCTATCAATGTATTGTCATACAACAGTACACAGGTTCTATCAAGGTATTACTTGTCATACAACAGTACACAGGTCCTATCAAGGTATTACTTGTCATACAACAGTACATAGGTCTTATCAATGTATTACTTGTCATACAACAGTACACATGTCATATCAATGTATTACTTGTCATACAACAGTACACAGGTCCTATCAAGGTATTACTTATCATACAACAGTACACAGGTCCTATCAAGGTATTACTTATCATACAACAGTACACAGGTCATATCAATGTATTACTTGTCATACAACAGTACACATGCCCTATCAATGTATTACTTGTCATACAACAGTACACATGTCATATCAATGTATTACTTGTCATACAACAGTACACATGCCCTATCAATGTATTACTTGTCATACAACAGTACACATGTCCTATCAATGTTTTACTTGTCATACAACAGTACATAGGTCCTATCAATATATTACTTGTCATACAACAGTACACAGGTCCTATCAAGGTATTACTTATCATACAACAGTACACAGGTCCTATCAAGGTATTACTTATCATACAACAGTACACAGGTCATATCAATGTATTACTTGTCATACAACAGTACACATGTCATATCAATGTATTACTTGTCATACAACAGTACACAGGTCCTATCAAGGTAT